GATCATAAGAGTCAAGCCACAAATTTCAATGCAAGCTCTATGTAACATAGCAACAACACCCACATTTGAAGATAATAATTAGCAGCAAATTCAGCTCCACTATTGGTCACAGGAATAGGACTTTGCCATCAGTGGGTTTGTTTTCACAAGTGATTCAGAAATGTGAAATTCTCATTCACAGCAGAGTTTTAGCCACAGGTATACAAACAAGTAGGAGCTGGGAGCAGTACTATTAGGAATGAATGAGTTTCAAGTTGGTCACAATCAAACAGTGCAGCAGACAGTTCTTTTAACACTTGTGAAGCCATAAATTAAACAGCTCAATAAAACACAGCAACAATAGTGCCAGAAGGGAGCTAGTTATTTATCTTATTTACCAACATACTTTGTGACAAGTGTAATGCTGGAGATCTACAAGTAAATGAATGTGCTGCAAGGCACCTTCCCAGTAACTGGCAACAATAATTAATACAGCCAGCTAGCAATTTAAACTCTGCAAAGATGTCTTTTTTAGCACTGAATTCATCCATTAGTTCATTTGGCAGATCAGCAATGACTGGATTTCGAAACACTTCAACATTTCTATTGCAGCCAAACACGGACAGTTCAACGGAAGGTGGATTTGTAAGTTTTCAGAATTAGGGAAAAACAAATATTAATCTTTCCACAAAGCATCCATACTTGTTGTCCTGATTGGAATAGCAATTGGACACAATATTCAGAACTACAGTTCAAAATCATTGGACGCTGCAAACAGAACTGTGCAAATTGTAGATATTAACATAAAATTGGTTTGGTTAGCAGAAATAAAGTTGAAGAAAATTAAAATGAAGTGAGGAGAAAACATGAAATTTGATAATGACCTAATTATTATGAAGAAGTCACTGGTTTTTAACATTTTTGTCTTCTGCTGAAGGAATGTGTGCTATTTGTTTTACATCAAGCCCTGTAACTCAGCAGTAACGGACTGAAATGTCACAGTACCTTTGGAAAAACTGTTTAAAATAGATGCAGCGAATCAGATGTGATAAATTGGACATTTTATCAACTGAATTTGTGACAAACATGGAATTGTGCTGTGTAAATATCATACTGTTGACCAGATGACAAAGAAGTGATGAAAAGTGAGGACAAGCTAAGTTTATGTCACAGTTCATGAAGGGCAAGAGACAGACAATTTTCCAAGAAGACAAAATCAAGTCTTAATGAGTAAACTGATTAAACTGACATTGAAAACATGACAAATTTGTGATGTTTGCCAGTACTCAAAACTGATCATTTTCTGGAGACTGGATAGTATCAAAGACTTTGAATGTATAGCTTTTTTGTATGGCGTGTATAAAACAACTTACGACCCAGCAAAGATTTAGCTAGTAAGAGATCAATTGATCAATGACCAGAACTTAAGACAGAATCACCTGTTTCAGCCTGAAAACATATAAGTGTTCAGGTCTTCATGTAATCATTGTAAGATTTTCGTAGTATTTTTCATAGTGTAATTTGCTTTAATAAAAACAATGATTACATTCTGTTGCTAGAACTGACTTGGGTTACTAATATCCAGAGTAAACGTGATGGACCAGGAAAAATGACAATAAAAGCCTACAACACGGAACTGAGAGTATCTGCTAAATGGAATGCCTAACTACACTCAGTGGCAATCAAAATTTGCTGACAGCAAGTATTTGATTTAGAACAGAAGGTGATATCAATTTTTTCAAACCAATGGACAGTAGTAAATACATAAATAATCAGAAACAAAATCAGAAAATGCTGGAAAAACTCAGCAGGTCAGGCAGCATTCTTGGAGAAAAAGCAGAGTTACCATTTCGGGTCCAATGGCCATGCTTCAGAACTGGGTCTGGGTTTGTTTCTGATTTCCAGCATCCACAGTTCTCAGCTTTATTCCTCTGCGTCCCCACCTTAACGAATTTCGGGCACGGCATGATACCGAACTCTTCTTCCGCCGTCTTCACCTCGTACTCATTTCTTTGGACAAGACTCCTCTCCCCGTCCCACAGACCCCCTTGTACAACTCCAACACTCTCCTTCCACCTGGACCCCTCCCTCTGGCCTTGTACCTGCACTCGATCTTTTCATTGAGAACTGTCGACGTGACATCAGTCGCTTCAATTTCTCTGCCCCTCTCAACAAATCCAACCTATCTCCGTCCGAACTGACTGCACTCCATGCACTCAGATTCAACCCTGACTTTGTCATCAAGCCTGCCGATAAGGGTGGTGCTGTTGTTAACTGGCGTACTGACCTCTAGCTTGCAGAGGCTGAGCGCCAACTCTCAGATACCTCCTCCTACCTTCCCCTGGACCATGACCCCACCATGGCACATCAGGCCATTGTATCCACTACGGTTATGGATTTCATTTCATCCGGTGATCTCCCCCCATCCGCTTCCAAGCTAATAGTCCCCCAACCCCGCACGGCTCGTTTCTACCTCCTGCCAAAAATCCAAAAACAGGACTGTCCGCTCCTGCCCCACAGAACTCATCTCTTCCTACCTTGACTCAGTCTTCTCCCCCCCCGGGTCCAATCCCTACCCACATACATCCATGATTCATCTGACGCCTTACGCCGGTTTCAAAGCTTCCAGTTTACCGGCTTCAGCCACCTCCTCTTTACCATGGATATGCAATCCCTTTACACGTTCATTCCTCACCAGGAGGGTCTCAGGGCTCTCCGCTTCTTCCTGGAGCAAAGACCTGAACCATCCCCATCCACCACCACCCTCCTCCGCTTGGCCAAGCTCACCCTCACCCTCAACAACTTCTCTTTCAACTCCTCTCATTTTCTTCAGGTAAGAGGGGCTGCCATGGGTACCTGCATGGGCCCTAGTTATGCTGGTCTCTTCATGGGGTATGTGGAACATTCCTTGTTCCAGTCCTATCCCGGCCCCCACCCACAACTCTTTCTCCGAAACAGTGATGATATCGTCGGTGCTGCTTCCCTCTCTCGTCTGGAATTGGAAAACTTCATCAATTTCGCCTCCAATTTCCACCCTGCACTCACTTTCACCTGGTCTATCTCTGGCTCCTCCCTTCTCTTCCTTGATATTTCTGTTTCCATTTCTGGGGATAGACTGGCCACTAATATCCATTACAAACCCACTGACTCCTACAGCTACCTGGACTATACATCCTCACACCCCACTTCCTATAAAGACTCCATCCCATTCTCTCAGTTCCTCCGTCTCCGTCGCATATGTTCAGATGAGGCCAACTTCAACAAGGGAGCCTCCGAAATGTCCACCTTCTCCCTCAACTGAGGATTCCCCACCTCCGTTGTCGACAGGGCCCTCAATCAGGTCCGACCCATCTCCCGCACTTCCGCCCTCACCCCTTCTCTTCCCTTCCGCAACAGCGATAGGGCTCCCCTTATCCTTACCTACCATCCCACCAGCATCCACATCCAGAAGATCATCAGACGCCATTTCTGCCACCTCCAGCAAGATGCCACCACCAGACACATATTCCACTCCCCTCCATTGTCCGCCTTCCACAGGGACCGTTCCCGCCTGGACACCCTGGTCCACACTTCCTTCACCCCCAACACCTCCCCAAAGCCCGATGGCACCTTCCCCTGTAACCGGCGAAGACGCAACACCTGCCCATTTACCTCCTCCCTCCCCAGAATCCAAGGGCCCAAACATATCTTCACCTGCACTTCCCAGAATCTAGTCTACTGCATTCACTGCTCACAATGTGGTCTCCTCTACACTGGGGAAACGAAGCATAGACCAGGTGATCGCTTCGCAGAACATCTACGTTCTGATCGCAAAAAAGACCCTGAACTACCTGTTGCCTGCAAAGCCCAACGCAAGCTGAAGGAACAACACCTCATTTTCCACTTGGGGACCCTACAGCCCTCCGGGCTCAATATTGAGTTCAATAATTTTATGGCCTAACCTCTCCCATGTCCCAGCCCCCTACCCCACACACCAGGCCTTGTTACCACATAGGCTGCCATTACACACCCCCTGTTGTTAGTCACTAACAGTCCCCATTAACAACTATTCACCCTCCCAGCCTGATCATTAGCAACTCCTTTGTCTGTCCAACTGTCTTTCTCTCTCTTTGGGCTCTATCCTATCGTTTACTCCCTACCCCACCCACCTCCCTATTTTCTGCATATAAACTGACGTTTTCCCAACCACCATCAGTTCTGAGGAAGGGTCACCAGACCCGAAACATTAACTGTTTTCTCCTTCACAGATGCTGCCAGACCTGCTGAGCTCTTCCAGCAACTTTGTTTTTGTCCCTGATTTACAGCATCCGCAGTTCTTTCGGTTTTTATCCACAGTTCTTTCTTTGTTTTTGTTTAGTATATAAATTTATAGACTGATTTAAATGGGGGTGGTGTGTGACATGACAGGATAGCTGAGACCTACTGTCTGCAATTCCTGCGCCGAGGGAAAATTCCCAGTCAGGGTGTGTATCCTTGATAACTAGGCATGCCTCTATTTACACAAACACAAATGTGGGCTTTCTAAGCTTGAGAAACCATTCACTGCCTTGGAAAGGCAGCCTATATAATCAAAGACTCCTCCCAGCCCAGCTATAAGTTCTTCCATCAGGCAGAAAATACAAAAGCTTAAACAACATACCAACATATTCAAGAACAGCTTCTTCCCCGCTGTTATCAGACTTCTGAAGGGAACTCTCAAATTTTAAATTTAACATTGATCTCACTGTTTGCGCACCTACTCTGCAGCCGTACCATTCTATTATTCATTCTGTTCTATCATCCTAATGCACTTTGTCTGGTATGATTTGCCTGTACTGCATGCGAAACAAAACTTTTCACTGTACCGAGGTACATGACAATAATAAAATAAAATCAAATTTTAAAAAAGCTACTCCAGAGCTTACAAACGGCTGTGATTATCCTTGTCTGCTTGTTCTAAGAGAGAGTCAGCTCTCAGAGTGTGGAAGATTAGTAAGTGTGTGGCCATCCAGCAAGGCCAGAAGAAGAGATTACTACAGGACTCATCCGAGTGTGGAACTCTCAAAGCAGTTTTCAGAACTGTACACCAGGTAAGGCACTGAGACTTCATGGGCATCTGGTCTGGACAACATCCAGAGAAATGTGAGCAAATGACTGCAGATGGAGTGTTGGGGAGAGAGGAGGAGGAATGGGGTGGGGAGGTGAGGGCATTCAACACAGGACCTTCAATAGTCCAAAATGCAGAAAGACATTTCTGGAATCACCATCTTTAATGGCACAAAATGGCTGCCCCAACCCCACCCTCCAAACACACACACCCCTCTCTGATGCCTGGGTACAGAAATCCAGAGACAGGGAGTAGAACATTTTGAGGCAGAGGAGGAACAGCCAGTAGTCATGGTTCAACAACACAAAGAAGGAAAACAGTTGAAGTCCTGCAGTCCCAGTTTCAGGAACCTGGGAGCAATTTAAAAAGTACAACCATTAAGGTGATCATTGCTGGAATACTCTCAAAGGCATGTGTTATAAAGTATAGGATTAATCAATAGCTGAAGAAATGGAGCAAATCGGATATCTTCAGGTTCCTGGGGCAGTGAGATCAATACTGAGACAAGAGGATTTTGGTCAAGGTGATTGGTTGCACCTCAGTAAAGCTGGGACCAATGGTCTCATTGTTGTCTAACAAGTATTGACAGAGAGTTTAAATTGAATTGGCAAGAGGACAGACACCAAGTTGAAATATTAGAGAGGAGAATCAAGATGCATTCCAACTGGAAAGACAAACAGTAGTAGTATAAAGCATAGTTGGGAAATAGGGAGAATTAGAGATGGGGCAGAAGCATGCAACATTATATATGTGTTCTTGTGCATGTATGTAAATGCACACTTTATAATCAGTAAGAATGGCACAGATCACCAAAATGGTTTAGCATATTGTAGGATTAATAAAGACCTGGCTCAAAAAAAAGGGAGTTGGGTAATTTAATATTCCTAGCTACAAGTTATTAATTTCCTGTGAGGGACAGAAGTAAGCCTGTGTAATGTTACCACAAGTGGTGCTAGGTAAATACAATTCTCAGTGCTACTGAGTTAGTCATAACTATGGAAAAAGAGAAGAGGTAGAATCCAACTTTAAAATACAGCACAGAAGAATGAGAAGATAACAAAGGAGTGGATTTGAAAATAAATCACAGAAAGATTCAAGAACTAGAGAATAGGGATATTGCAAATTTCATTGATCCTAATATATTCTGCAACAGTGACAGTTGGAGGAACTCTCAAAATATTCGTAACAGAACTCTCTTGATCAATTGTGTTTCAGTAAAGAAGAAAGCTGTGCTGATGGGGTGAAGTGAACAAATGGAAATGTTTCAGTAGGAGGCCCCTGGAAAATAGTGATCACAATATTATTCAATTTCAAATAGTTATTGAAATGACATGTTAAAATCAGACATAAAAGCAATGAGCTAGAGGAAGGTAACTTCAGTGAACTGAAGATAAATCTGGTCCAGATGGATTGTAATCAAAAGTTGGGAAGCAAAACAGTCAGTGAAATAATGTTAAGCTTTCAAAGTGAAGATGGCCCAGATTTAGAGTTCCTAAAGGGAAAATGCATCTAAAAGGGAAAGCTCCTTTAATGGCTGAAGTCATAGGTGTAAAAATGAGATAGCTGGAAGACAGCTGGATAGAGAAAATACAAAATAAAAAGGGATTAAGAGGAGTAAACAGAAATACGAAGAAAACAGAGAATGAGATAACAAATAATAAAGTTTTTACAAATGCGAAAGTAGTCAAGGGCAGTCAAAGGAAAGTTGGACCTGATTAAGGATAGGAAGAAAATTTTCTTGAAGAAGCCAAGCCAAGGACAATTCTTAACTTGGCCATTGAGCTCCAAATCAATTCTATGACAATCTGTTAGTTCTCTGCACAGAATGACTCTTAATTTTCTCTTAATGGAAGGCACTTGCCTCCAAGAGTTATTGGCCAATCAGAGGGCTGACATCTCCTCAGTCCCAGTAGTGGCACTGTTACCATTAAAGAATGTTACAGCTGCACCCAGCTTGGAGGCAGCATCATGGAACCTCGGTAAAAGGGGTCTGGGCTGCCAGGATGAATCAGTCAAGCTTTATCAAGAACAAGGAAGATGTGGTTAATGAGATTGGCAAAGTGCTTTTCTAAGAGCATCCCTTTCCATCCAAAGGCTCCTCCTTGGGCCACAGGGCTCCAATCAGAAGGACCCCAAGGTTTTACTGGATGATGTTTCAATATGACAGATGGTGCTTCTCCAACACTGTTAGAAATGTGAGGATTGGTGGAAAGATGCCCTTATGTGATCCTTAACTGTCTTCTGGTAGGAAGGCCATCCCCACAGTGTCTCTGCCACTGGGAGAATTGCATTTTTTTAAAAAGCTTGTTCATGCAATGTCATTACTGGTTACATCATTGTCCTGGAGAATGTGGCATTGAGCTGCCTTCTTGAACTGCTCCAGTTCTTGGTGCGTAGGGACACAAACACAATGTTTTTAGGAAGGATGTTTCACGGTTTTGACCTAGTAGCACAGAAGGTATAGTGATATAGTTCCAAGTCAGGATAGTCTCTAAGTTGGAGGGGAATGTCTAGGTGTTGATATTCCCTTGCCTCTTCTGCTCTTGTCCTTCTAGGTTGACAAAGTGATGGGTTTGGAAGATACAGGGTAAGATCATGGGTGAATTGCTGCAGCACATCTTGCAGATGGTACACAATAGAGTGAATTTTGAAAGTGGTGAATGAAATGTCAATCAAATGGGCTCCTTTGCCCTGGATGGTATCAAACTTCATGAGTGTGGTTGGGCTGCACTCATCAAGGCAAACGGAGAGAATGCCATCTAACCAGTAGTTGGTGAAAAAACACTGGGGATACAGGTGACAGTTACTTGTCAGAGAATTCCTAGCCTCTGATTTGCTCTTGTAGTGAGAATTTATATGACTGGTCCAATTCAGTTTCTTGAAAACAATAACCTTCAAGAATATTGTTATTGGTGATTTCAATGGTGATAAAGATGACTTAATGGCAAAGGGCGATTGTTAGATTCTCTCTTGTTGGAGATGGTCATTGCTTGGCCCTGCGTGTGGTGGAAGCTACTTGGCACTTATCAGCCCAAACTAGGATGTTGTCCAGTTCTTGTCGCATATGAACACTGAACTTATAATTAAAATAAATTCAATGATGAGGATGATGATGATGATGATGATGACGACGTCTGGGCATGAGACACTACCCTGTTGTCCTGGGCTGAGATGATTGAATCATCTTCCTTTGTGCTCTGCATGATTCCAACCAGCAGAGAACTTTCCTCCCAATACCAGTTGTTTTCAGTTTTATCAGGGCTCCTTGATGCTTATCTTCTTTTTTCACATTCTAAACCTTATATTATAATAAAACTGATCAATAACATGTTTTTAATTCTCCATATAATACTGTCAACCTTCTATATTTCTAAATCTTTCTTGAAATAAAAAGAAACATGTTTAATCACAAAGTAACCTAAACAAAAAATAAATTCTTTCAGGTTTTCATAACTCCTTATGTCATCAGGTACCTTTGAGAACCTCCAATAATTGATTGGAGCAAGCACCCATTTTCCTGTGACACAGTCTGACAACCGACAATTAGCAGCAACCCAATTCATTTTGGAAATCTATTCTCTTTCTAACATTTTCTTCATCATGATCAATCTCAACTACTTCTCACCAACATCCTTTGTCAAACGTATGTTGTTCGAAAGACACTGGTTATCCACATAACATTCAATCGGCAACTTTTTCACAGATTGCCTTTGCATAGCATTTTCTTTAGAAAATTAGATAAATACACAGTTCTGCCTTTAACTTTTATGAGAACAATGTTTCAGCACCTCAGGTACTTTCAATTTACATTCTTAGCCATTTTTGGCTATATCAGTCCTCTTTTGAAAGTACAGTCTTTAGTTCAAAGTAATAACTCGGTTTCTTTCTGCTCAGATGCTGAATTTCTTCACCATTTCCAATTTTCATTGTAGATAGATTCTGGTTAAGCAGGGGGAAGCAAAGGGATATACTGGAATATTAAATACAAACAAAAAAAATCATCCATGATTCTTACTGAATGTCAAAGCAGGGCTGAGAGGTCAAATAACCTACTTTTGCTCCTAATGCATATATTCATAATCTGATAAATGCTGCCATATTCAAGTCATTATCCAGAATATTAGCATGTGAATATCACCAAAAAGGATGATCTTCATAACTTCTTTGTCAGCCATGACTTTAAACCAGAGTGTGTATCTTTTTGGTTTTAATTTCTTTAATGTTGATTTGCTTTCAAGGTTTCCTCAACTATACTACTCAATTCCCATACATCATAACTAGCATTGGGTCTAGTCTGAGTGCACAACTGGTTTAACTACTCAATCAAACTTTTTAACTGACAATTTCTTCCCTGGGTGCAAAATTCTCTTTTTGGGAGGAACTGGCTCAATTCAACCATCAGAGTATCACTTTCTGCTTAATCCAAAGAGACTCCTGATCTATTCTGCTTAATGTCTAACCATACATACATAAAGGGCCCTGAAATTGCACTTCCAATCTTAAACTTCCTTTGAACTTCACACACCACACAAATTCCTGACAGAATATTAATAATGTGCATCATAAAGATGTAAATTGAATGCAACATACTTACAGCAAGATGGACCTAACTGAGAAAGACCATACCCTCACTCTATCATTCAGCCTATAAAATCATCTGTTTTGTTTCCATTGCTTCTCTTCTATATCATCTGCTTCTTTAGGTGCCTTCAAGTATACTTATCTTTAAAACTTTTCACCCTGCAATAATATCAAGGTGATCTTCAAGATCACTTTTCCTTAAGTAAGGGAATTCACTCCAACATGATGATTAACATTTTCTCTTTAAAACCCCAAAACACTAGTCTGGCTTCAGTCTTGCATGTTCCGTCATGGAGCACCTTTTTTGTGTCCTAATCCATCCATGACAAGACTGGCTGTCTCCTCTCTGCTACTTCAGTATATAAACCCAAT